TAATTGGGGGGAAGGAGGGTAATAAAAATAAAATAAAATAATTTATCATTTTTGTCAGTAGAAGTATCGTTTATTTTCATTTAAAGTGCCAAAATTATGTGAATTTTTTTTTTTTTTTAGCCATGTTTGTATGTGAAATCGAAAAATTTTGGGGTGGGGTGTTTGGATATGAAATTCTGATTGGCTAATTTGAATTTCATGTATGTGAATTGCAAATTCACATTGATTTCATTTTCGCGCACAACAGCCACACAAATACTTTGATTTTAAAATTTTTTGGCTCTCAACATTAACAATTAATTTACATTGATATATTTGCTATATCAATAATACAATTTTTTACAGCTGACAGATTAAACAATGGATAGAATTTCCTAAAAATAAATGAACAGTTTTTTTTTATAATATGTACTTGCTCGAAAAATGAATAATTTAGAAAATTTTCTCAACTTAAAAAGCAGAGGAAAAGAAATGCATAATTAACATTCTAATAAAATAAAACTTTGTCATAGACTCATTGTTTTTTACTAAATAAATAAATTTTTGAAAATAAAAATAAACGTTGTTTTTATTTTCATTGTTTAAAGTGCTTTGACCAAAACAACAAGTGGAGTGCCTTGGTAAAAAAACCACATTTTTTCGCGTTGGTGAGTAAATGAAGGTTATGACTAGCGTTGGTTATATAAATAATAATAATACAAATACAAATAAGAAGTGAAAGTGTGAATATAATAATTTAGTAATCTACATAATATCACAGTACATATATACTACATTTACAATAAGATTGATAATATTTTAACAAAGTTGTGCGCATAATTTTCAGGGTTCTATCTATTCTAAAGATCCAAGATTTTATTAAATTTTGTTTGCAGTGAACCAGTGCCAGTAGATTCTGTTGAAATAATACTGGAATAACTGAAAGAATTACTGTCTTCATTTTTTTGTTGCATGTAATTTTCCTCTTTATCAACTTTATCAACTATATTTGAGTCTGAAATCATTCTATTAAGCATAGTTTCAACATATTGAATATCAGGCCTGCTTTCTGGATTATCCTGCCAACATGCTAGAAGTAAATAATTAATAAAAATTTAATGCATATAAATATATAGTTTTAAATATAATAGATTTTTTACCTTTGTATAAATTAATATATTCATCAGGTGTATTAGGAATAGGTTCCTCACGAATTCCTCCAGA